AAATCATACCACTAGGTACTTGTCCAACTCATGTTTCCATTATGCATATACTGTTACCCATGTTTACCTAGTTCATATCACTTCTTATAAACTCACTTTCATCATATTTTCCTATTATTACATATTTTATCTCATAACCATGTATCCACATAGTCTTATATTTCATTATCATATTACATATATTTGTTCTCCTATGACCCTTAATAAACATCTATTTCTATTTCCCTACATCTCTCGACTTATCTTCTATATTCCTATATTTTCATAACTTATTTTATATCCTTTTCCCTTTTTATTCACATAAACCATCTATTTATTTAGTTCAATTTCTCATGACTTCCACAATACTCTTTAATAAAACTTTGTAGCTCTTCACTTTAATACATAAACCATAGTTTCCTTTAATTTATCAATCTTCTCTATATAACTTATGTATCCTTATTTATGCCCTCGAATTCATACTATTCTCTTAGAGTCTCCTAACATTTCTCGTATAATCACGTATACCATATAATATGACTTATACTTGATTATCTTATTCTCTCATGTTCATTTCATTTCTTATGACTCTATCATATAACTTATTCCATGTTCTTCCATTATTACATAATAAAGTCTTACATAAATCATATAGCATATACAAATCATATCATTATCTTTAGTCATGCATACATACAATCAATGTAATACATATAATCACATATAGTTATAACCAACACATAATCATGTCTATGACTTCATGCATATACTCTAGAAAATAGACTCATCGCAAGTCTTATTTCCATTAAACACTACATGTCACTAGTATGCACTCAACTTGGCCTCACTAGTCAATTTCAATCTCTTATCTTTCCCTTGATCGATCTTACTTGCCAAATGTTCCGGAATTGCTTTACGCGCAGAATCTACATAAATGTACATTTTGAGGCAATCATTAGATACCTACACCTTGTAATTGGATACTAGCAACTTAAACAAACTTATTAAACCATTATTCACATTTTTCCTTTAGGGGGAATCGGTTCCCTACTAAGGGGGTATCGATTCCCTCATGACATTCTGGAAATTTTTGTTCGTTTGAAGGGGTATCGGTTCCCCTTGAATGGGTACCGATTCCCCTTGCCCAGAAATCATATTTTTAACTCGAAAATTACTTCATTTCCTCTCAAACACTTCATATATCATCCCCTTTTCATTCTTAACTCTAGTACACATACTTAAACCAATCTATATTCATTTATTTCATCTTAAACCTCAAAATCCCATCTTCCATATGAGATTCAAGAATCATACCAAATTTTCAATGTGTTCTAATTCCAATTCTAACACTTCATACTTTGTAATTAGATTGATGACAAGTCAAATTCATCCATAAAACTTCAACAACCATACCATATCAAAATTTCATCTTAAAACTCATATTGCAAATTCCTTCATAATTCTTTTATCTTATTGTTTAAATCACATATAAGCTTTCCTTAAGCTTATTTAATACCCAAAGAATCAAAACTAAGCTTAAAACTCAAGAATTAACCAACTGAAATTAAACTTACCTTTGCCATGGAGCATACGGGAAGAGAGGAGGAAGGAAATGACTCAGCTCCAGAACTTTCTTTTCTTCTCACCCTTCCCACGTTTATATCACCTTTAAAAGAAAGATAAAAATCTTTCTGGTCAAATGACCATTTAACCCTTAATTTCCTTTAATAATTACTAATTAACCTTCATCATATATATCCAATAATCATTGAACTATTTCATTCTTATACTTTAGTCACCAAATTCTGAAACTTTACAATTTAGTCACTAACCCGGTATTGCGGATGTTACAGAAATCATAGTTTAATTATGTATAATGCAATTAGCCCTTTTAATGATGTTTCTTTCATTTTTATTAAAATCATCGAGAACTTGATCGATTGCTTCAAAATTTGATATTAAAAATTTCTATTCTAACTTAATTTATATCATGTATAATTAATATATTTTATTAATTCAAATAATCAATGAAATTAAATTCAATATTTTCACCACAAATGTTTTGAAGGACATATAAATATTCAAAGGAGAATCCCACATTTTCCATTATATCTATTAAATAAAAATAATATTGTTAAGCTCCATATCTTTCATATGCTAATCCTAGAGAATTTTAAATCCAAAGGACTAAGGATGCAAAAATATTTTAAAATTAAAAAAATCAATTTAAAGTTTTTTTTATTTTTTTTATTTGCATACTACTTTTAAAATTTAAATAAATTTTTAGAAACAAATGAGTCTAATACTTTTATAATTCTTACCACTTTTTTATTACCTCGTAAAGCGGCTAATTCAACGGAGACATTGAATTTTATGAAAGTTAATGAGTTCTTTTGATATTGAATGTCATCCACAAAAAATATTTTGTTTTTGTTCATATATTTGGATTTAATATTTTTGTTTTATGAATGATTTTTTGTGACTATTATCTTAATTTCTCTTTCTATATTTAAGTGTGTTGTAATTTTGATTTATTTCGTTATTTTTATTAATAAAATCCAGTTACCATATTTCAAAAAAATTATAAAAACGTATAAAAACCTAAAAGAAAACAAAAATTGTTTGTCCAAATAGAACAAAACATAAGTCAAAACTTATAAATCAAGTCTTATTTAATTATTAAAACATGATTTTCCCCCTATTATATTTAACAACGAATATCTTATCCTCAATTCCTTTGCTAAGCAAGTTTAGCATATCTTATAACGAATAACATTAAACCCCAAATTTTTTGGAATAAGATACTCCAAACTTTTTAGCTAAGCAAGCAAAGAATATATTATCAAAAACGAGTTAAATGAGTGCCTCCAAAATTAGGGATGGGCGGAGGGGACGGGTGGGGTAATCGCCATGAAAATTTAAAATTATTATATGTTTTAGATTTTTTTTATATATATTTTCATCATATAAAATTTTATAAGTTCTATCTCTAATACAAAATTATATGTCTGTCCTGTTTAAAATTATTTATTAAAATCAATTAAATTATTATTTTTATAACAAAACCTATACATGAAATTTTTAATTTGGTAATCTTTAATATATTGAAAACGATTCCTTACTAATATATAAAGGTATAATTACATCTTTTACACTTAACATCTATATGATTTTGTAATGTTGCCCTTATTTTTTTCAATTGCACCATTATTGTTTCAAATTTAAACAGGATCCCTTATTCAACCATATATAATGACTTATATATCGACCTTTAGTATTGATATCAAACTTAGGATCACGGTGACAATTTATAAATTAGTAGGATTCATGAGTTAACCAACTCTCACATCAAGCGATCATAATTGTTCAGAGGATATTAGACTCCGAAAACTTTTGAACCATATTTTTCATGTCAAATATCACCTAAGGTTTTAAATATAGAATTCGAGAATTTTTTTAGTTAGGATATCTTTTTATAAATCGATTATTTTTTCTTGTTATCTTTTCGATGTATTTTTAAATCTTAATTGGACATTAGAAATTCAAAATACATATACTTTAATAAAAACAATGCAAATGAAAAAAATCTAATACAAAACTTTTGAAATATTATACTTTTTAATATTTTATTAATTATTTATAATTACATTTTATTACGAGTTTCAGATAGATTTATATTTTATTTCATTAAAAATATCTAGATAAATTATGATTTGTTTTATTTTATTTTACTAATTTCTTAATTTACTTAAAAGTAATTTCTAAAAAATTTATTATCTTTAAGAATTTTGTAAGTCTATAAATGTATATCGTTCCCACATAATTCATTAACATCAATTCAGAAATGAGAATATTTTTATTCTTTTTAAGATTTTTATTTTGTTCTTTCTTTAAAATCTAATTATTTAATTATATCATAAAAATAAAATGTTTTATTCACCGTTTAGGTTGCTAAAAGCATTTGATCCGTGGAGGGCTGACTGTAAAAACAATACAAACATATAATTGTATAAATAAAATTTTAAAATTAGATATATTTGTATAAAGAAAATTTTAAAATTTATAGTTTTACTATTTTTTAAGATCGTTAGATGAGAAAAATATTAAAGCATGAGATTAACTTCTTTTTATAGTGAATATATTTTTATTTTCTGTTGTTAGTCTCGACATTTAACTTTCTTCATCCAACGGTCATGAAAAGATGTAAAACTAAAAGCTATATTAAATATAAAATGAGAGCGGATATTTCAATGTAAGATAAAGTTAAAGTTGGGACAAAATTAATTTATATCGCACAGAGAAACACACAAAGCTGAATTTAAGAAGTGACTATGTTAGATTTAAAAAAGATAAATTATGTATTTAGTTATCTACTAGTTTTTACGATTCTATTTTGATCACTTAATTATTTTTTAAAATTATATTTAACATTAATTTTTACTTTTTAATAGGATCAAATATTGGGAGGAACAAGTCACTTAAGTTCAAAATAATAAGGACTCATTATGTATTTAAAAAATTAAAGGAGACAAAAGTCTAATTTTATTTAAATTTAAACTAATAATGACTTAGAATATTATTAAACTAAACCCCTTCCACCCTCTATATAAATCCGTCCCTATTTATAGTGATATGCCAATATCATACTAATTTTTTAATGGTGATTAACTAAAATGAAACTAAAATATAATTAAGTGACCAAAATAAAACAGTGGGAATAAGTAGGATGACTAAATACAAAATTTAACCAAAGTGAAGTTTGAACTCCCCAACTGCTGCCGGTTTAGTTAAATGTTGATTAAATCTTTTGTCGTTGAAATACGACCTGCTGAATGAAAATCGTCGTAATCAAGTCCAGTTTATTTGTAATCCTTTGAACAAATCTTTATCACGTGAATCTGAAGAGGAATAAATAAATAATCCGGCTCCCCCTGGTTTAGCTTATTTAAAGAATCGAATTTATGATGCTACTATTTATTTATTAGGTTGCTCTTTAATTGTTAGGTCTATCTATTTATATTTTGATTTTTTCCCGAATTTTTGAAACAAACCCAGAGATCTAAACTGGGAGATTTTCGGCCTTGAAGAAGTAATCATCAAATCATGGAAGTTGAATCATTGAGAAACAAGATTGATAAATCATCAGTGGAAACCCCGCCACGCAGTTCGGACGCCGCCATAGTCGTCAGGAACCGGCGAAAATGGAGAAACGTCTGTTTCGCAGTCATCGGCGTTTTGGTTTTCATCGTAGTCTTGATCGTCATCTTGGCCTTCACCGTCTTCAAAGCCAAACGCCCCGTCACCACCATCGACGACGTCTCCCTCCGCGACCTCAAAGTCTCCGTCGATCTGGCTAGATTCCAGGTGCTGCTGAACGCCACCCTCGACGTCGATATCTCGATCAAGAACCCTAACAAAGTGGGATTCAAATTCAAAGACTCCAACGCCCAATTGAATTACAGAGGCCAACAGGTCGGGGAGGTCCCAATCCCCGCAGGTAAGATCTCTGCAGACAAAACCGTCCCCATGAACTTAACTCTAACAGTAATGGCGGACCGATTGATCTCCGACTCGAAATTCTTCTCCGATGTGACGAGTGGCGAGTTGCCACTTAGCACGAAGACTGAGATCCCAGGCAAGGTTAGCGTGTTGAATATGTTTAGGATCAGTGTTGTTTCATCTTCTTCATGCGATTTTACCGTCTTTATATCAAATTCGAGTGTCGGGGACCAAAACTGCAAGTATAAGACAAAATTTTAATATTTAATTTCTCTTTATTTGGGGTTGTTTGTACTTGAATCCATTGTAGCTGAAGCTTGATAGTCCTTTCCGCTTTGTCATTTTATGCAAGTAGAGATGTTATATAATAGTCTTATATTTTGATATATAAATTTATGGTATGATTCAACAAATCTCTTTTTTTTTTTACTGTTAATAAAAGTATATATAAGCCTAAAGGAGGGAAGTGCATCCTTCATGGGTATTATTTGTGGTTAATGGAAAGCACTGGCTTTCTCACATGTAATTGCATTTTAATTTAGCATTAACTAAACCTTTAATACCCAAATTATTAGTTTTATTTCATTTTAGTACTAAAACTGTCATTTGTTTCAAAACTATACCCCACGTTTACTTTTTGTTTCATTTTAATACCCGTTATTAAAAACTTTACGGAATTGTTGCACGTGACATTTTTTATTGGTAAATTGTATCATTCATCACTTAACTATCTTATCACTCTTATTTTGGTCATTGAAGTTTAAAAGTTTTCAATTTAACTACTCAACTTTTAAATTAATCATGTTTTAATCACTCTAATTTATTTTATTAATATATAATTGAAATAAAAAATTATATTTGGAAGTTTGATTGATTAAATTAAGAGTAATTTGAAAGTTAAGTAATTGCACTTTAGTGACCAAAATAAGAGTGAGAATATAGTTGAGTGATGAATGATATAATTTACCCATAAACAAGTGCAATTTGAAACAAATGAAAATTTAAATACTAAAACGAAACAAAATTAATAGTTTACGTACCAAATATGTAATATATCCTTAAAAGAATAATTATTATTTTTAGAAACACGTTACTCAAATAAGTTGCTTGCAAGAGTATTTGAATTCATTATCAAATGATTGAGTCTTTCAAACATGTACTATTTTAAAATCACTTCAAACTAATAAAAACAATTTGATTTAATTAGACTACGAATAATTATAAAGCAAACATAATGACCAAAACGTATATGCATTATCAATGAGTAAGAAAGAATCTGAAACAAACCTTGTAATCACACAAACTACTCAAAGAAAATCTACATTTTTTAATTTTATATAAACGATTAGTTATTTTAATAATATGACGTGAATATTTATAGAATACAGCCAAATTGAAAAATAAGTATAGAGATATTCCAAGATGAAACAATAGAGAAATAATCCATTTAAAAATTTTCTCAACACTTCGGGGAAACATACTCAACCACAAATGTCAATCTTAGTAGACTGAGCATTTGGAATCAAATAAATCCTTATTCCAAACTTGCATAGGGATTCAAAGTCTCGAGGAAAAGAGTGCAAAAGGCCTAACCCCCTAATTGTTCACTACTTCAATCAGTGTTGGCTCATAGTCGTTCGGAGCTACATAACCATGGAGGTTCATGACGGTTGCAGCCACATTTGCCAGTCCCCCAATTGGAACGTCATTCCGGAATCGAACCCCCGGTGCCAATCCCGGACCTCCGATTGCAATAGGCACCTAATTGGATACATCCAATGTATGCATCACAAATTGATCAAGAAAACTAACACCACTCTAAATGAAGAGATATACTAGATCAAAATACGAGTATTTTGAAAATTTGATCCTTTTTTGCTAAAATGGATACGACACAACACATACCATGCAAATTTACATCAAGCCACCCTATGTTATACTACATGAAAACAAACCAAAAACCCAAGATCATTTTCTTTCAATTAATTCGGCAACTTACAGGTTGACAAGTGTGGGAGGTGAGAATTTGGAGATTGCCATTCTTGTCAAGAAGAGGTTGTCCGGACTTATTCCTTTTGACCATGTCCTCAGCATTTCCATGATCAGCGGTCACAACATATATTCCACCGACTTGCTCTATCGCATCGATGATAATCTGAACACAACAATATAATCAAGTATAGCCCCACAATATGATCATCATTGGATGATACACCCAATGATGAATGTCACATGAATAGAAAAAGTAAGATTGATTTCCAATGATAAGTTTATCAAGGTTTGCCCCCCTTAAGTGCCATAGGTTGACAGGAGAATTTCAGTAAAACTGGTGAATTAAAGAGAAGCCACAACATCCATAACCCTTTTAACATCATTTCCCCCCTAAAATCTGGCATTCTATATTTCATCTTTATGTTGATTGTAATTCATTAAAATGATGTAAAATCATTAGAAAGTTCCAAGTAACAAGAATGAACTGGAGCCATCATACCTTAACGGCTTCATCAGCAGCCTTGCATGCCACAACTGTAGCCTGGATATCTCCAGTATGACCCACCATGTCACCATTTGGTATGTTCACACGCACCTAAACAAATAAAAAAGAGCTAATCAGCAACCTTTATTGATTTGAATGACTAATTAATCCATTAATGATCACCTGGTCAAATTTGCGGCTCAGAATTGCATCCCTAGCCTTTTCACCAATCTCCAATGCCTTCATCTTCGGTTGGACGTTGAATGTAATGCCAACATCACTTGGGATTTCAACATATTCTTCCATTTCGGGGTTGAAATAGCCAGAGCGATTTCCATTCCAAAAGAAAGTGACATGGCCAAATTTGACAGTCTCACTGTTGTTACAGGAAGGGGAAAATTAACACACAGTAAAGCAAACAAATAATCAGATATAAAAATATAAAATCCACATTTCACTAAACAATGATTCAAAGATAATCATAGGCATGTAACTCTTTTGCCTTAATTGTAGATGAATATCATGGATGAGAAGTCTCATGAGACTTTCTTTCACATTGAGAGGCTTGATAACAAGCAATGGAGAACGTCTAGAGTTAATGGCAATGGGTTCAAATTATCTTATTTGATTAGTCAAAGAAAAAAAAATCAATTTCCTTGAAGACTTTGTTCTATAAAATCAAGGAACAAACCTGCATGCAAAAGTACGGACACCGTTATGCACCAAATATTCGCCAGATGTTCTGTCAATCTCGGGTGGAGAAACAAGGTAGTGGTTTGGAAGCTTCAACTCACCATCATATTGAAGCATTCCAGCATAACGAATTTTAGGGACTCGTACACGGTCAAATTTGTCAAAATCTTGATATTCAAGTGCCTTAGCAAGCATAACCATCCGATCTGCTCGGAAGTTAAAAGTAACAACAGCATCTCCATCTACTATTGGACCCACGGCCTTCTCATTCTCATCAACAATAACAAAGGGAGGTAAGTACTGGTCATTGGCATTTTCCCTTAATTTCTTTACAGCTTCAACAGCATTTGTAAACTTGTGTGGGGCTTCACCAAGAACCTGAGCATCCCATCCTCGTTTCACAACGTCCCAGTCATTCTGCACAAGATTGATTCACAAAAATTATCTTCTTGATCCATTCAAATAATGTAGAATCTCTTCTCTAGAGTAAATTGTCGGGTATTTCTTGCCTTGTCAAATAAAGTAAAAAATAAGAGTGACGTAAACAATAATCCAATATCTTCCAGATTTTGAAAAACAGAACCACTGCAAGTTGTTCATGCAAAATAATAATAAATATATTATCTATACAGCATGTTTTGGGAACTTTTACAATTATTTTGCACCTCATATCGGTCCATTGTGACATACATGCGGCCTCCACCAGATGCGATCCGGGCATCAACACCGCCCTCACGTAATTTTGCAAGGTCATTCTCAAGAGTCTCCACAAAACCTACACTTGAACCATCCAATACATCACGACCATCAGTGAGAATGTGAACACGAATTCTTTTAGCACCACGCTCACTAGCTCCTTTCAACAACAACTGCAGAAAAGGAAAGATAAATTAATAACCAAAAAGGGAAAAGAATTAGCAAGAAGCTTGTCCTGAATGACCAAAATTACCTGCAATTGATCTAGTCGGGAATGGACACCACCATCACTAAGTAATCCGATCAGGTGCAGAGTTCCCTTTTCAAAACATTTACTTATATACTTAAATCCTTCTCCCCCATAGATTTTCCCAGAGGCGAGAGCAAAATCAACAAGCTTAGCCCTATAGTTACAAAATGAATCAACAGGTTAGAACACTGGGAATACAGCTAATATGCCAATAGTCCATCTCCGAGAGAAAGAAAACGGAATACCACAGAAAGAAGATGCATGCAGAATGTTTTGAAATAAGAAACTATTTTCCTCCGAATCTTAATTATTCTTTAAGTAATCACATTCGACACATAATCGGGCAAAGATGTGCCAGATATTACCCTCCAAGGAATCTCCAAATAGGTGGCAAAACTTAGAAAATTTAATAAACCATATCTGACACAGCCACTCTTGTTGCTTGAATACGAAAGGTAAAAGATGCATAGCAATAGTTCACAAGACAAATTCGCAACAAAGCAGGAAGAGAAGCTTACCCTTGTGCAAAAATGCGTCCTGCACCGAGAGCATTGTGGCCGACTTCACTATTTCCCATGTCATCCTCAGTGGGAAGCCCTACAGCATTACCATGAGCCTTGATTAATCTCCACTTTTCAGGGGCTCCCTATCAACAAGATCACCTCAAATCAAATTAAGTCTCATCGCATATTGATGACACATGGGAATGGAATCCATCATGTGAAGCAAAATACTGTAATAGTGTCCCAAATAAAAAATACTTAAACTACCTAATTTTGGTGGAATCAAGCATTCAAGCTGATATATATTATGTAACTCACTCTTTATTTTTACTAAAGTAACCATACAAATTATACCATGTCTAACACATATTCAGACATCACTATGCGTCTATCGAACACTCACTTGCCACACCGGAATAACATAGACCAATCATTTAAAATCTAAAGCTGAATGAATAATGAATTATATATAAAAAATGGTATATCATTTATATTTATTAGGTTTATTTCACTATGGCGCAGTGTACTATTAGTTATCCAAATCAAACTGTCCAGTCATTAAGCACAAGTGCTTGTTCTTTTATAGAGAAAGCCGAATCTCAACCTAGCAACTTGAAGAAAAATTAAGCTAAACATCAGATCTAAAATGAGAGAAGCTTGATATCCGAAACCCAACAAAGATGAAACCTCATGCATATAATAAACGATATCCATAACAAATAAAAAAAAACGAAGCATAAAAACGATTACCCAGATCAAAGGGTACTGGCAAAGTTCCTGATCTAAGTTAAAATTTTAACTTGGAGTGAAATTTAAAGATCATGTATATTAAAACAAAAGCAACGAACCTTCTTGAGAGAATCCATGGTGGGAGTTTGAGCGACATGAATACAATTGTAGTCATCGGGTTTGTTTTCGCCCCAGCCATCGAGAACGATGAGAGCGATGGTCTTCCCCTTTGGGAGATTAGGGTGATCTTCCAATTTCCATGATACTTGCCCTGAACTCCCCATTGTTGCTATCTGTTGAAAGTTAACCTTTGCTAGTTACTGGTTATGTAGTTGAGAAGAAAGGATTGGGTGCGTCATATAAAGAAATCAAAAACTCGAAAAATCAGCCCCAAAATGAAAAAATAATAAAGGTGACTGCGTTAGTAGTGAGATGTTATAGGGTTAGGTTATAACATATGAGTAATCTATATAACTGGAAGGCGTGGAGAGTGAGGGCATAAAGAGTGGGTGGGTGGGTGGGTGGGTGCGTCAGCAAGTGATCATCCTTTTTGGCTTACCTAACTTTGTTGTTCTGTCTACAATTGGTTTCAATTGTCACGAATATACTTTTAATTGGTTGGATATGCTGCTACTTGCTCGTATACATTACAATATATAATAGAATAATTAATCTAACTGTTAATATTAAATAGTTTCGATTAATTGAACTGTTAATATTAACGATTAAGGGTACGGTTATGCATTTTGATAAATGATTAACCGTTGATAAATTAAATTTATAATTATATTAAAATATATACATAATTATATTGTGTAAATATGTGTTAAATACTATATTTTTTTATTTTATCACTTATACCGATATAAGTATATGTTAAATATTATTTTTTATTTTATTCACTTACACCGGTATAAATATATGTTAAATACTATATTTTTTTATTTTATTCACCTACACTAATGTAAGTATGCGTTAATACATTTTTTTTAATTTTATTCACTTACACCGGTATATATATATATATATATATATTAAGTGCTACATTTTTTTTAGTATAAATTATAAAACTTTAAAACATTCATGTTGTGCTATTTTTTTTAAAAATAATTATAATAAATTAACTTATAATATAACCCGTTAATAGTAATTAATCATTAACGATTAACCGTTTCTCAATGCAAATATTATGGTTAGAAAAAATTCGTAAATGATAGTATTAATCGTCTATAAACAACTCCAATGATTACTATTTTTAGTGTATTTAGAGCGGACATGAATATCAATCATTATAAATTTATTATCTGAATATATTTTTTATAATGAATTTGTTGTTATCTTCGCCTGAGCATTTGAAGGAACATATTCGTAAATAGGATATTTACGAAAATTTATGGATATATTTTTTTTATCATTTGAACTTTTTTTTAAAAATTTTATTATAAATTTATAACACTAATCTTATTTTAATGATTAGATATTTTTAAATTTCTAGGTATTAAATAGAAGGGTAAATTACATATTTAGTATGTCAACTGTCATTTTGTTCAATGTTGATCATCCAACTATTATTTTTTAAAATTATACCTTATATTTTGTTTTGATTTTATTTTGGTCATTTATTGTTAAAAAATTAATAGAACTGAAGTGGGAGTTTTTTTTTAATTCAATGATGAAATGACATTATCTTATGGTGACATGTTAACATCATCGTTAATTTTTTAACGATGGGTGATCAAAATGAAACCAAAACATAAAGTTAGATATGATTTTAAAACAAAAAATAGTTAGTAACCGAAAAAGAATAAAAGTGATAATTGAGATACTAAAAATATAATTTATCCTAAATAAAAACAGAGAAAATGTACGACTGGTCAAACAAAATGGGCAAGGATTTCCTTATCCATTGATAAACAATCATCCTTACTTCGGCTTCAGTTTTCTCTTTCTTTCTCAAACACCATGGCATCGTGCATGGCTTCTTCTTCTCCTTCATCTCTGCTGCTTCCTCTTGGTAACACCCATCCGATCTTTTACTTAAATCTCCCACTGGGTACCATGACTTTAGGGGATGAAATGAATTTTGTGTTTATTTTTCTGGGTTTTCCCATTTCATTTCTTGAATCACTCTCGTACTTCTTTGTAAAATACTTCAGCCTAACATCAATTCCTATGCATTCACTATATAGAACCAAATTGTTTTGTTAAATTCTTTCTTTTAATCATTTTTTGGGTTTGTTTTGTTGTTGTATCACTAAATAGAACCAAATTGTTATGTTTCACTATGATCCATTTACGTAATATAATTTCTATTTTAGTTTTACATTTTTATAGTATCATTGTATGAGTGAAAATATATGATTGTTGCATTTATTTTCCGGTGACTATCTTTTTATTTTATATCGTTAATATCATTCGTCTATTTTTACTCATCTACACATTCTAAATCAATATAAAACTTTTTAATTTTACCTTATGTAACTGCATTCTACCTATATGTATATATGGAGGTGTTTATCTAACGTCTATAAATGCTTTGAATATGTATCCAGTAATACTTTTTAAAAGATTTCTTCCTATATTTAAAAAGACAATATCTCATATCTGTTGTCTCTAAGGGAGCATTTGGTTCACGGAATATAAGATTACCAGTGGGAATAAAAGATTGACATGGAATAGGATTACTGAGAATGTTGTATTTTGTGTTTAGTTGGTTTAGCAGGAATGTAAGATTACCGTGTTTGGTTAAAGAATAAAAGATTATTAAAATGTATATTTTACCAAATTGTCATTATTATATATTTGTTTTTTTAACAAGTTTGAAAATATTTATATATTTTCTTAAAAAAAATTAAATTCATAAAATTTATATAAATTTTTTTTACAAAATTGAAAATATAAAAAAGTTTGATGAAAGGGTAAAATTTTATTTTACCCCTGAACTTCATATAAAATTTTAATTATAGATTTTTTTGTAAATCTAAAATAGTTTAAGGATAAATTTGTAATTTAACCTTAGTAGAATTTTTATTATTCAATGACAGAATAAATATATTTTTGAAAGAATTTTTTTAAAGGGCATTTTAATCCAAAACGCCAGTAATCCAACAATACCTAAGGAAAGGGAGATAATGACATTCCCAGTACCTCTCCATATTCCTAAGTTTAGTATTATTGCATGGATGGCCTTATTAGACAGACTCCCAATTAAAGACAGACTGAAACGTTTTGGGTTTGATATCGATGACAAATGTGTGCTTTGTAATGACTCGATGGAAACTAGAGATCATTTATTCATTCAATGTCCTCTGGCTATTTCTCTATGGGATGCGGTTATCATTCTCAATGGCATGCGAAGGACATCACGTACATGGGGAAATCACTTAGCTTGGGCTTGTGATGCTTGGAAAGGTAGATCCTTGCTCACTACAATTTTGAAATTAGCTTGGAAAACATTTATTTACACTGTTTGGGAGGAGAGGAACAAGAGACTATTCGAGGGATGCTCACGGAATTTTGAAGCATTACTCTATGCTGTAAAACACAATGTTGCTATCCAACTAAGGGGTAGAAGTATTAATAGGAATGATAGTGTTAATACTATGCTTTGTAATCATTAGGGTATTGAATAGCTGAATTATGTTATGTTGTAAGTAGATACTGTTTGTATTCTTGAACAAGCTGTTTTTATACAGATATTTGGATAATAAAATCGAATTATCCAAAAAAAATGACATTCCCAGTAAAATACCCCAAAAAATCTACTATTGGTAATGTAAGATTACCGGGAATAACATTCCTAGCCAACCAAACAGGGGAATATAGATTCCATTCCCATAGGAATCTCACATTCCCCCAACCAAACACATCCTAAAAGAATAAAAAAAACCGAGTAATATAGGTTATATGCATTTTTTTGTTGTTGTTAATTTAGGTGGTTCAGCTGTTTGAATTTTGCATTTGATGCAACTGTATTAGGTTCTGGATCTGGGAAGAATCTGTTTGTCAATAATATGGCCCTCTCAAATATCAGGGCAGGTCTAATTGTTAGGTGCTCAAGTTGTAAAACAAGAAAACAAACCATTGGACTTAATCTAGTTACTCGAAGGGATGCGATGGGGTTGCTTCTTGGAGTTCCAAGCATCTTGTTGAACTCGCGGAACGCTTATGGTGCCGGATTGCCACCGGAGGAAAAGCCAAAACTATGCGACGATGCCTGCGTAAAAGAGCTTGAAAATGTATGGTGAGATTACTTAGCCCCCTTAGGCTGCTAGCCTGCTACTTCACTATTGTGTATCCTATTGTGGTTGTATTAGCTCACTGCGTCATATCGTTTTTAATTAATTATATGTACTTATAAATAACTTTTGATAGGTTAATTCGAACCGTATAAATTTTGAGACTTTACGTATTCGTTTATAAGTTTTGTGTTTGTTAAGCCCTGCATCTCTAAGACATGAGTAATGTATCAATCAAGACACCTAACATTTCTAAATATCAAACAAGTTTACCTTAGCTAGGCATAGTTGTTGATGCTTTGAAACTTTGTACTGACATGCTTGATCGTTATACATTATATGATTAACTATGTTTCTCGGATTTGATACTTAGTTTCGAATACCGATATGTGTTTTGCATCGTTATGCTCCATTCTTTTAAAGATTTTCCATATATTTGGAGGATCATGCTTCTATGCTATGTGTTCGAATGTGTGTAATTTAAACTATTCTCTGTAGAGATTCTTTTAGGGAAGATAAAGAGTCTAGGTAACATAGAGATTAATCTACGTTTAACAAAGATGAACAATGAATATGCATAAAAAACAAAACAACTGTGGTGATGAAAATTGACCATGTAACTTCCAACTATTGTATATAGGCTTAAACGAGCATATCTTAATTCAAATGATAGGAGTGCTGTGTTGAAGGTTGATGAACGGTTCTATGTTGTTTCAATGCTTTATTTTTCTTGAAATACTTGTATCCGACATCCATATCCGATGCTTATTCAGAAATGTGGAGATATGATTCTTAAAAAACCCTCCAATACATCAAAATTTTGGGAAAAGAAACATTGAACAAAATTATGTCCGACACTCACATTCGAGTCTTAGTAAACATGGGATTAACTTCAGTAGCTTTATGACCGGAAGCTAATGTTTTACTACTTCGCGTTTGATGAAGGTACCTATGGTAACTACGAAAACTGGTTTACAGTACAAGGATATTAATGTTGGTGAAGGTCCTAGTCCTCCGGTTGGTTTTCAGGTACGTCAATTGTTCTTCTCCTGTAAGTTTGCCATTTTTTTACGTCAATTGTTCTTCTCCTGTGAGTTTGCCATTTTTCTCCTACAATCCGAATAACCCGGAATTGAATCTGTCTCTTGTACGAACCGGCATTGAAGGTTTCTAAGTAACAAATGCTCAAATTTTAAGTTCAAACTTTGTATTCAAATTGAGCAATCCATGTGTAAGCTATGACATGATCTTTTCAATTTGCATTGCCTGGTTTACTTTTACCAGCATTCTGGTATGTAGTTCCACATGAACCCTGAGCCATCTCTTGTGTGGCGTTGACTATTGCAGGTGGCCTCTAATTATGTTGCGATGGTTCCGTCTGGACAAATATTTGATAGGTAGTCATTTAATTTTGTAAAATCTTGATATTATGTTCGAAGCATATGCAAGATGTCTGATATTCGAATCCCCCTGCCCCCTTCTCCAATGCTCTTGTAGTTCACTAGAGAAAGGTCAGCCCTACATATTTCGAGTTGGCTCTGGTCAGGTAAGCTCTTCGAGTGGCCTACGAACAAAATTCTATTTATGCACATTCGTGTTCATTCGATCGGAAATGAAAATAAAAAGAACGAGAGAGTTTGGTGAATCTTACTATAAACTAAAGTTCCGGAAATGTTGGTGCCGTTACTGATTGTTCATCTAATGAGTAGAACAGGTGATCAAGGGTCTTGATGAAGGCATTTTAAGCATGAAAGTAGGAGGGAAGCGCAGACTTTATATTCCGGGACCGGTAAGCTACTCCTCATTGCTCTAAAATCCTCTAACTCTTCATTTTTCATAAAGTATATGTGTTATGTCCAACACAGAGATATAAGGACATGGCCATGGAAGATTCGAGTTAAAATATTTTGTGACTTTATCTAACATTTACTCCATTGATGGAACTTGGTGCGTTTGTGATTTAGTTGGCATTCCCGAAGGGTTTAACGTCGGCTCCGGGACGACCAAGAGTAGCTCCAAGTAGCCCGGTGGTTTTCGATGTGAGTTTGGAATACATACCTGGACTTGAGGATGAAGAACTCTGACTCTTTTTCCATTCTTTTCCTCTATTTCTTCCCATTATTCTTTCTTTTTTTTTTTTCCCAAAAAATGAAATGAAATTCTACCGTTGTTGTAGAAGAAGCATCGTTCTTTCGTTTTTGGTAATGTTCAACCATAAGAGTTAAAGGTGAGTGGTAGAGTAAGAAATGAGGAAATGGAAATCCATTTGAATCATGGTGTTTAGTCTCAGTTTTCTTTATTAAATTTGATCGGTTGACTCGATTATTATTTTTGGTTCATAACATAAAAATTGTAATCAAATTATTATTCTACTCTTATAGTTAAGAAATTATTATTATTCCTTAAGGTTTTAAATTCGAACACCATGTATGTGAGGGATATGTATTTTCAATGCCAAATGATTGAGAATCTTTGAATATATATTATCTTGTACTCATTCTATTTTTTTTTTAAATGTTAACCGGATTTCATTTATAAAAATAAAATAAGGAATTAGAATTATAACACATCCATGCATATAGAGAAAAATGAAGATAATAATCATCAATAAATTCATACACAAATAAAAATATTAAACCTAAATATAAGAAAAAAATAAAATTTTCCTTTGAGAATTACAACCAATATCAAAAGAATCTAATAATCTTGATAAAAAAATTGTTGATGTTAAACGAGACGTTTTACAAAGTGATAAAGAAGTGGAGAGCGAACCCAACTATATGATTGCCTACGTCATTGCACAATTCTAATTATATCAACAAACATCTTACCAAAGAGAGGATATGACTAAAGTTTGACTACCGACAAGTCAATCAGAAAATAAATAGCTTTAGTGTGAGCACCAAACGACCGTAAAGGTATATGTAAAACAAATCAAAAGTCATAAGAATCATACCACAAGTGTGAAAAAAGTTTGTCACAATAAATCAAAAACAATGGAAAAAAGAAAATCGACATAAATATATTGAGAGAAACTTAGAAATAAGAGAAAATTTAGAAATAAAAATTAATTCTTAGTTATGTCTAATTTATTTTAGATTAAGTATGATTAAATAATTATCAAGCTTTCTACTTGTTTATTTTAAGCTAAATCTTAGAAAGATTATAAATTCGAGCAGTTGCATTATACTACCTTGTAAATAATTAAAAAAGATTTTGAACAGATACTATTTATAATTATTCAATTATTCAATAATTATTATTATTATTATTATTATTGTTTTATAAATTTTTGTTTTATAAATTTTAAAATTTATGATTTAAAAATTAGTTTAGTATAATTTAATTATCTATTTTTCGCATGAATAAAAGTCTTTTCACGAGAATTGTAATTTAGAGAAAGTAATATAAAATGGAAAAAACCGATAGTCAATTCAATTCAATTGAAAACAAGATTAGAGATGGATTAATATAAACAAACTGTGCTTTCAAACTTCTAAACTATTGATTTGTTCTGTAATCTTCGTTAGAGCTTCATTTAGAAGGAATATAAGTGGTTTTTGAAGGAAAACAAGGAAAAGAGAGGCACAAGAATCAAGGAATAACAACAAAACCATGAGCAACAACAACGGCCATGGCGATGAAGATCAGCGTAACGAAGAAATCCTTGATTCCGGATTCAACCAAACACTTAAGAATGTCCAAGGGTACCTCTTTTTTCCCATTCCAATTACTTTTCTTCCTCTTGTTTCTCAATGTTTATTCTAGATTCCCCCTTGTGTTTTTGTCCCTTGGATTTAGATACCCATTTAAGAAATATCTATGGATCATTCGAATTTCAGTCCTGATCTCAGTTCATGTGGAAGCATCTACCTCTTTAATGGGAGAACTTTGATTTCCCAAAATTTTCCAGTTAGTTTTGTTGAGTTTGAATTGTCCGATTTACTGTAAGATTTAAAGACCCTTTTGAGGATTAAAGCCAGATCTCTCAAGTTGTACATGTTGGTATGGTCAATTTCTCTTTCGTTTGGAAGATGGTTCTTCCATCTTTGCACTAAGATTCAATGACCCCCCTTTTTCTAGAAATGTCTGGTTTTGGTGTATGTTGTAATTTGATCATGTCATTGTTGTTGGAGAATCATATAATAATCACATTATTCAGGAAAAAGTTACTCCTTTAGCTTGGTTTTTCCAGAGAATAGAGAGGATGTTTATTGAATGTGAGAAGTTCATAAAGGTTATGGAATAAAAAATGTTACTTGTTTTTAGACATGCTGACCGTGGATTTGATAATGCAAATGGGCTTAAGATTGATGTTAACATGGGTTGCAGATTGGCTTACTCCAGATTTATTAGTTTGGCAGCAAATAATTATTTCTTTTATCATATGCCTCTTATTTAAGGTTGCTTAAAGGTCGCAGTATTCCTGGTAAAGTATTATTGACCAGAAGACCAGATCCACTTGATGATTCAGGCTTACAAGAACAATCTCCCAGTTATCAAAGAAGCTTCTCACAGAACGATGCTGGCACAAGTGATGCAATGGACAAGACTGTAGAGGTGAGGTTTAGAATGAATATCTATAGTATGTATTATTCATTCTATTAATAAAATACTGAAAACTGATTTATTCTTTTACTAGTGTGACTTTAGAGTTATTTAAAAATCTGATATTCTTAACTGAAAAAACATTGGTTTCATTTAGGGAGGGGTCAGAAATACAAATAACTCAGATGGTAATACAACTGTTAATAAGTCAAGATCTTCATTTTCGAAGACTGAGAATGCTGCCAATGAAGTTCAGAACTCTCCAATGGGAACAAGAGCTACAGATTCTGCCAGGGTTACGAAGTTCTCTAGAGAGCTCTCAGGACAAACGGTCATGTTAGGTACCATGTCTACTTTGTTGCTTCGAGAATGATTTCAGAATCTATATACATGTGGTCGTAGTGTTGATTTGATTACTATGTCTTTTTGCAGAGAGATTACATGAGTTATCTTGGAGTGGTGTTCCACCTTACATGCGTCCTAATGTATGGAGACTTCTGTTGGTAAGCTCAGAATTATCAGTTTTAGGCATTAGGTGGACTTGAACTCTATGAATCAATTCATTATTCTTCTTTTCTGTAAATACTGTGATTTATTTTATTTTATGTGAAGTATGATTTTTTATTTTATTTTATGTAAAATAATGACTTTTTGTTATTTGCTGCCACATTATATAGTATGTTATAGCTGCTGCATTCCTAGTCTAATGATTTGTTTCCACGTAATGATGCCATGGTACTATGCTCTGTGTTTTAGCGTCAGATATATCTTTTTTAGGGTTTATTTATTATTTGGTTTTAGTTTGTTCCAAATGCAATTTCCTAAGGAGGTTGAATTTCTCTTTGTTGTGTTGTCTTGGTGGCTTTGTATTCCAATTAATGGAACCAATGAAGCCACTTTTTAAATGAAAAAAATCTGCATGTCTCATATTTAATATCCTTGGTTAACTAATTTTTTATCAGATGGATATAGATTGTCTTTATTAAATAAATCTGGTTACTCATTTGAAATTGTATGAACTAACAACAGGGATATGCGCCATCTAATTCAGATAGAAGGGAGGGAGCTCTAAGGAGGAAACGAGTTGAGTATCTTGATTGTGTTGCTCAATTTTATGACATTCCTGATACTGAACGGTCAGCTGATGAGATTAGTATGCTTCGTCAGGTACCTCTATCCCTTATTTAATTCTCAAATTTGATTGTTAGCCTTCTATGTCTGATTTAGCTACATCGTTTATTCTGTTTGTTAGATTGCTGTTGATTGTCCTAGGACGGTACCTGATGTTGCTTTCTTTCAGCAAGCTCAAGTTCAAAAATCCTTGGCACGCATTCTTTATTCATGGTAAGATACTATTTGAGTTGGTTAATTCACATTTATTGATGGCTTTCTTATGCGAAACTTGATAATTTTTTTAAAAAAAAAGTAGAACATCGGTTTTTAATAGTGAAATGTTTGTATATAAACCTGTTGAACCACTAAAAGATCAGACTGGATAGTAAAATACTGGTTTCTATTTATTTGTAATTTATGAGATATGCACTTTTAATCTCCTAGTTTATAATAAGATGTTAATGTTAATCTGAATGGTTTTTTTGTTTACTATTAACTAATTTTATAGTTTATTTTACATTAAATTGAGTTTTTAAAATATCTAAACATTGTTAACTCAAGAAAACATTGAATTGCCTGGTTGAACTGGGAACAGAGATATGCGTGATTCGGCCTCTGGTCCAGTTTTTTTAACATTGATTTACGTTTGCTCAGAAGCAACTTTTGAGATACTGGTGATATTTTGGGGGTAACTGATGCTGCTCTTCAACTTCATGTGCAGGGCCATTCGGCATCCTGCAAGTGGATATGTGCAGGGGATAAATGATCTTGTAACACCCTTTCTAGTTGTCTTCTTATCGGAGTATTTAGAAGGGAGCATAGATAGTTGGTCACTGTCTGCTATACCTTCCGAGAAGATGTCAGACATAGAAGCTGATTGCTATTGGTGCTTATCAAAGTTGCTTGATGGCATGCAAGACCATTACACATTTGCTCAACCGGGAATCCAGAGGCTTGTATTTAAGCTGAAGGAATTGGTTAGGCGCATTGATGGTAAACTCTATAGAAGCCTTTCAGTTCTCTCCCTAAAATTGCTCTTTTTATGAGTAAACTCTATAGGCGCATGGATGGTAAACTCTGTGTGAGTACTTCCTTTGTGTTAAGGGTTATGATGGAAAGAAAGATGTTTATGTCCCTATGTATTATTCCCCCATATAATGTGCTTGAAATTTCCTTTACTGACATAAATTTCTGTTCATGTTCTAATTTCATCTCTTTGTGTTATTGATTTCTTTGTTCTTTAACATGTACCAGAACCTGTTTCTAGACATATGGAGGACCAAGGACTAGAATATCTTCAATTTGCTTTTCGCTGGTTCAACTGTTTGCTTATACGTGAGGTAAGGTTTCATTGTGCTATCCATATTCATTGGTTTTTCCTGCATTTCAAATATTTTTTATTTTCGATTGACCAAATGCTCCAACTTCTATTTATATATTTTGTTTGTTTAATAGATCCCTTTTCATCTAGTAACCCGTCTATGGGACACGTATCTTGCTGAAGGAGATGCGCTGCCAGATTTCCTTGTCTACATATTTGCCAGTTTTCTTCTAACGGTGAGCACTTGCTGATCTATTTTATTAGCTTTCATCTCTGACTGCGTTTTTGCAACCTTAAGGAGATGCAGCTTTGGTAATTGTTCAATTAAAAAGATATTTTTCTGTTTGTTTGTTCCTTCTTTTCCTTATCTAAAAGAGAAATAATCACCATTTCTTATGTCAAAAAGATAATGATTGCTTATGTTCTCCTACTCTTTAATTTTTCTTGAAGCACCAATGTCCAACACATCTGAATATCTAATGAATATCTAGACATGGGTATTCAAAATATATGGAAAAACAGAGAAAAAAAATTGAACATGTCCATATCAGACACTCACACCCTAGTCTGAGTAACATATATGATGAAAAAAGGGTAAGATGTTGGATCGAGGACGTTAAACTAAAAATGAGCATCTCTTAGAGCTTACTTCATATGCCTTAGAGCTTGCATTATCATGAATTTACAACATTCAAATTTTTCAATGCTTGTTTTCCTAGATTGCTAAGTCAGCCTGTTCATTTGCATCTTTTATGTTAAGGTGTAATGTCCAACTTTGAACTTTGCTCAGAAAGAACAACACTTGCAACTTTTGCATTTCCTCGTGAAATCTGCTAATGAGCTTCTATGTTACTCAAACTTGGGTGTGGTGTTGTATACGTCAACACTGGTATGTTCCTTGGTGTGTCATATCCCATACCCATATCTTAATATGTGTTAGACACATGTACTTCAAGCAAAATGAGGAGTCCTATCAACATCGATGAACTTTGCTTTGTGATTCCTAATTCCTAACCATTCAATTGCTGTTCTTTTTTGTTTTAATGATAGTTCGATACCGGACACCTCCTGAAACAATATTTTTCATCGTGATTGCTCATAATCATATGATAAAACTGGCAAAAGACTTATTGATGAATGCTTTGTTCTGTATGTTTCAGTGGTCAGATGAACTTCTGAAGCTTGACTTCCAGGAGATGGTGATGCTCCTTCAACACCTTCCAACTCAAAACTGGACATATCAAGAGCTCGAAACAGTACTTTCTAGGGCTTACGTATGGCACAGTATGTTTAACAGGTCTCCCAGCCACTTAGCTAGTTGAACTTAAATTTTGTGTTATTCATTTATCTGATTTCTCTCTCTTTTAAATTCTCATTGTTTGTGTTCTATTAACACCTTCAACACCTGCATGTTCTTTTGTTTGTGTTCAAGTAGAGGTCAAGTGTTCCTCCTTGTATTGCGGCACTCGGACTTAGGGTTGTTGGAATTAGGATGTGTATATGTCCGACACAGACATATACATGTTTTTCTAGTTGTTTCCCATTTATTTGACGGGTTTGTATCGAACACAAATAACTTTAGGGACAACTACGAGTCTGGGTAACGTAGGTTTCGTGTAATTGGCATATGTTTGTAATACACATCAACCTTGGAAAGTAAGAACATATTTCCTTGTATTCCAAGTTTTGCGTTCTATTAACAGAAATTAAAGAGGATATTGTTTGTCTATTTGGATCATAGCTATAAAAAGTCTTAGAAATGTATCAAATGACCACTGAAAAGTTGCATTAAAGGAATTCATAAGCTTCAGTTAGAATATATGTAAAACAAGGACTGATAAAAAATGCTCCAATCAACTCCCTTGTATTAGGCTTCAAGCCATCTTGTTTTTCATCCATTTTCTCTCTTTCCCAACAGCTGAGTCATGTCCGGTTTGTACCGTAAAATAGTTTAGTTTTAAAGGAAGTCAAAGGGTTTTAGGCTAGATTTGTTGAATTACATATATTTTTCTAGTGAAATGAACACTAAATTTGTATTTAGGATGTCAAAAAATAATGAATTACAAATTTTGGGGTCTAGTTGTGGACGTATATATGATTGATGTTGATTGAGAGTGACCGTGATAAGTGGTGACGGTGAAATGAGATTTTAGTCGAATTTAGAGATTAAATTAATATTTTATTTAAAGTATAAGATTAAAATAATATTTTATTTAAAATTTATAGTTAAACTAGTATTTTATCTAAAATTAAAAATAAATGTAAAAATTAACTGTTTTAACTAATGTCACATCATTATTTAATGACTTGGTAATCAAAATGTATCAATCATAATATATAAAATGTATTAATCGATAATATAAATGATTAAAATTTAATAATTTAATAAAATAAGTGATCAATTTTTTTTTGAATTTGTTAAATAAAAGTATATAAATGTGAAAGGAATATGACTAATAAGTACTTTATCCTAATAAATAAACAGGATGAACATTCGACTTTTAATAAAAATAATATCCATCTTCTAACATAAATAAACTAAATTTTGAATAAATAAAATTATTAATCGAAGTTTGATGTCTAAAAGTTTATTTTTTTTAAATGTTCACTAAAAGTAATACTCCTAATTTTATAAATAATAATACATATAATTCACCATAAATATAATATTATTTGGAAATTCCCAACTTCCAGCCAATACCTGGAAACTAGAAAACTTGCAGCAAGCTCAACTTGAAGAGAGATGGGGATTTCTCAATCGGCGTCGAAGCGAGTCAGCTTCACATTAATCAACTCGTCCCAGTTCAACTCAGCGTGCGACTCAGTCTACACTCAGTGCCTCGCCCTTTCCCAACATGCCTTTCCCGGAGTCCTCCCTTATCAGCTGGTTAGCGCCGCCGCCCACCTCCACCAAGACCTCACTTCTGTCCACCCTCACCCTCTCATTATCCGCTGGGTCCCCGATCTTCCCTCCCGCTCCCAAGTAGACTCTTCCTTCCGATTCGTGACTCGCCACCGTGAAAATTCCCGGAGCGATGGAGAACCGTTTGTCCTCGACTCTCCTCAGTTCAAGGAATGGGCACAGGTGTTGTTCACCGATGCCGTTGTGGGAAACGCCGGAAAGGCAGTGATGAAGCGAGTTCCGGTTGGTGTTTTAGGAATAGCGGGCATTGGTGCGGCGGCGAGGACGAGGAAAGAGGTAGTTGGGGCGGCGATTGGTGTGTACGCGCTTGGTGTCGCCACTTCAGTTTACCTTAGCTTGTCTGGTTAGTTGTAATTGGCTAATAAACCCTGTAAATACTGGTTAAGGAAAATATTATAAAACCCTTTTAGATGTTTAATTTGTGGAATTTTGGTCATTTTTAATTTTCTCTTTATATTACTTTTTAAAATAAATGGCAATTTGAATTGGTAAAAGAAACCAAACACAAAAATTTATTCATATTAGAAATTAATAACCACAAATATTTAATATACAATAATTTAAATAGAAAACTGTTATTTATTTTATTTTTTTATATTGACTAAATATAAATTATAATAGAATTTCAAAGAATCCAAATATATATGCAACAGCATGCATAAATGTAAAATTTTATATAAAAGAAATTAACCTTTAAATTTTTTGGAGATGTCAGAGTTCTAAAATTTTGAAGATTAAAAATAAATTTTTAATAAAAATATATTAATCTTTTTAAAATATATAATCATTTTAAATTTTCAAAAAACAACTATCCTATCATCTTCTTAGTCCATCACTGAATTAGGTCATATTTTAATAATAGTATAGAAAAGACTTTTTTCATTGTTGATAGAAATATTATACTACTGTAAAAAGATATATTAAAAATGACATTTAAATTAAAAAAAATAAAGTAATGGAATGATTTATTACGTCGTTATAGGAATTATTATTTTAAAAATGATTTTGTTATGATTGTTGTAATAGCAAACATCATTTTAACATATTATTTTTAGATTTGTATATTCAAATAAAAACATAAAACTCAATCATTATTATTATTTTTTTTGAAATAAGGGAATCGACGAGAAGTGCAAAAGAAAAAATGGTCAAAATTATACCAAAAGTTAATTTTAGGTGTCTAATGAATTTTTGGTTGAAAATAGGTACCTAACGTTTCTGATGTCATATTTTTAGGTATATGTCGTTAAATTCAACCTTTAAATGACACTTGTCGAGCTTAGAAAAAATAAAAAATTTAATTTATTTTTAAAAAAAATTATATGTCTTACACATGTCACTGAATGATCGAATTTAATGATATTAACGATCTAGAGCCTATTTTTAATGAATTTTTTTTAGATATTTAAAATTAATTTTAAATATAATTTAAACATTTATTTTTACATTATGCTATTTAAAATTAGAAGAAAGTGACGGTTTGGAACCATTTCCCCTGTTTGAAAAAAATTTGAAAATATGATAAAAGATATTTGAAATGGTTTTTTTAAGCATTATACTGATTTAAAATAAGGGTAAATTACATAATCAATAACTGAATTTTCTTCTAACTCCTATTTTGGTTATTATATTTAAAACTAATAATTTAATAATTAAAATTTATACACCAACTTTTTTTAATCGCTCAGTTATTTTTTCAGTTAAACTTTAATGGCATGGCTTATTTTAATATTTTGTTCAGCCACATGGGATTTACATTTTAAATAAACTAAAGTTATATATATTTCATAATATATAATTAACTTTATTCTTAAAAGCTGCTTAGATCTTGTTGGAATGTCTAAGGAACAACGACCTAATTAAAGATAAGGAGAAACGTAACTCAAAATGTTAAAAGATTAACATTTTAGGTTGCACTCAACCGAAAATGTTAAAATCAAATTTAACATTTTCGATTACGTCTTAAATTAGACCGCGTACAAGAGAAATACCCCTATCTTGCAACTTAAATGGTGGCTACTTTGACTTTTGCTTCCATTATTTTCAAAGACAACAAGGCATACTCTCAAAAGCTTGACCATGATGCCCTTCTGAATTAGACCCATCTCCTCCATCAGCGTCACCCACTTTTTAGAGACTCAATCGGACTCATTTTCGAAACAAATGGTGAAGTGATTAAAACATCAAGTGGTATGTGTTACTTCTCCCCTTACTACTTCCTTCTGCATCCTTGGAACTCCCTTCCATTCCTGATACAACGTCGTAACTCCTTGTACGCTTCAATTGTCCTCTTTTCGTAATGTGCTTCTTGATTTCCTGTGGCAACCTTAACGTGAACATTTTCATGTTCTCCCCGTGTTGCATCAGTGAGTGACTCGTTGAGTTAGAACGTGGAAACTTACCCATTATTTAAGTCTGATTTTATTGATTTGAATAATCAACTCATTTTACTCGTTGGCTTATTGTTGTTGTTGTTCAAGTTCAACTCAATGATATTTGAGCATGAATCGACCGGTTCGACATTGACACCAGAATCGGGAGTGAGTTTAGCTCTACAAACCAGATAGGTCACGTGGCAAACCAATAAAAAATCGATACAATCAAGATGAAACACATACCTCATTTTAGAAATAAACAAACCATGCATTTCAACGCTACTTCCCTAGGTTTAAGGTCTTTAACATAAGAATATATAACGAGGAAACTCTCAATCACCGTCGGGTCAAGACCTTTTGGCTGAAACCTTTGAGATGAGAAAGCTACAATCAGTGAAAAATGTATATGTATTTCAAGGTGGGCTTATGTTCACTATGAAGTTCATTTTTTTTATGTTTGTTATTGATTTTATTAATAATGTTCACCTTAAAATTTTATTTATGTCTACATAATTTAAAAAAATCATGTTATTACTATATATATGCGTGTCCACACTAAAAAAAATTGGACATGATGATCATAGCATGAGTTTCGTTGTAATGATATATGCAAATAAAGAGGAAGCCGAACAAGAAGAAAACGCAAATGAGGATCATAACAACTATGACCATGGATGGTTTAAAATGATTGTAAAGTTCATAGGGTTAAGTTAAGTTATAATGTCGTTATAAAGTTAATGATAAAGTGATAAAAAAATCAATGTATAAAGTTTAATTATTATATTAAAATAATTTAAAGTATAATGAAAGAGTGAAAATAAAGTTTAGTTGTTAATTTTGTAATTTACCCTTAAAAGAAGGAAAGAGAGAAAAGTTAAAAGGAAGAGAGATAAAAATGGAGAAAAATTAAGAAAAACAATAAATTAATTAAAAATAGAAAGAATGGCGTTTGTGAACATGGCGACGGAGGAGAATGCTCCTCCATTTATTTGACAGTTCCTTTTCTCTTGTTCTCTGTTTTCCTTTTGTTCACGCAATCATTTGAATGAAATTTGCAATTATTTTTTAATTAGATCAACCAAATAACGATCCCTTTTCAATCAGTTGAAATACTAATCATAACCCAAAACATATGATTTTGATGTGAAGCTATCGTTTTTGTTCCGAAATTACGGGTATAGAAAGAGGGAGAGGTAAATGGTGGTTGAAAAAGAGAAAAGGGAAGGGAGGAGGCGGAGGAGGTGGGTGTTGTTCTAAGTGTAATGACTTTTGGGGAAAAGGAAAACCATGGAGATATGGAGAAACTGCCGCCGCCGCCGGAGCTGTCAATATTCAAAGAGTTGGATCAATCGCTCGAGATATTGGAGATCCATCTATAACCCAATCTTCTATCAAGGTTTGTTTTAGCTGTAAGATCATTCCTTTATCATTCTATATATAATTCTATTAGTTATACGAGAATCAAACGATTTAGTTTCTTACTGAATTGATATTTAGTACTTTGCATTGTATAGTTTCTTAATGCATGCAAAGCATTTTTTTTTTCAAAATAAGGTCTTTAGTTGCTAAATCTTGGGTCGAATGAGATCTTTTGGTCAAGAGCTGGGATTTTATTTGAAAATGGCAAAGGATATTATTACAAAAATGAAAAATGTATATGGTTATATATAATTAGTGATTGAACCTCTGATAGTTGAACTGTTAGTTTATAACTTTATGTATTACATGTTTATATTTTTAGGGAAGGTATATGTTTCCGAAAAGTCAAATGTCATGCAACAAAACATTAAATTATAAGGGAAGGTGGCATATCTGAACCTTGCATTCTTGCTAACATAGCTATTTATTTAGATTGTATGTTATCTGAAAAAATGAGTTAAGACCATGCAACATGAGCTCAAAGTCATTGCAGAATTAGCATCATATTCATGACTATGATTAATGAGTCTTCCATGTGTTACAATGTGTCATCACTTACCCTCGGGCTTTCCATCTTAATAATTTGAACAATGAGAGAAGAGTAGCAAACTTACTGGAAAATTGATTTGTGAAAAAATGCTCCTTTATTGGTTTTCCATCCTATGATTTTGGTGTGACCGTGGTGTTTTTTACTCCTTTCTTAGTATTAATAAACCGGGTTCTTTTAGTGCAGACAAACAAGATGCTTAAGCCAGATAAGTGGCAGGCTGCTTTTGATAATGAAGGGAGGGCTGTCAGTTTTCAGAAAGTACTTAAGTTGATTATTTTTGGGGTATGTCTTATCTTCTTTTTCCCCCTGAAACTTGTTCAACAGGTGGTTGCATTTTTTCCCTTGTAAAAATGTCAGTATTCTACACGTTCTTGTACTTTTGGACCTGGAATAGTGGTCCATGGTGAGGATTATTGCCCTTAAAGATTTTTCCCAGTTGACTTCCTGCTTATCTTAGTCACTTTCAACATTATGTGCTTATTTGGAAATTCTTATTTGGTTAGCAAAAGAAGGGATTGGCTAACTTTAAGGAGATTGGGGGTTGTGTCTAGTTTTGTACTGGGTTTTGTTTTGATGTGGTTCCATAACCTGGTTGTAATCTTGGGGGTTTTCAATATAATCTGAGGTACTCTTTTCCCCCTTCCACTTTTTGTTGGTCTGCCTATATGGTTTTCTGACAATTACGAAGGGGTTTTTTTAACGAGACCTCCAATTCTTATAATAAAAAAAATCCATAGCCTATAGAAAGATCCTTACTATACCCTTGTAAACTATCTGCATCATTAAGAAGGATCTTACCTTGGATGGCACTGGGATAGTTTGACGGTAGCATATTGTACCAACTCCAGTAGGACCTATCAATTTATACCTTGTATGATAATTTTCTTTAATTCTTATATGTATTTCCTATATTGCACATGGTCAGTTGTATGCAATACCAATTCCCATGTCAGCCATCTCTTCATGTTCTCTATTTTCTTGAACACTAAAATGCAAAAAGCCTTGATATGCTGGGAATCAATATTTTTGTTGGA